AAAAAAGTTCTTAAGGTTCTTCTGAAGAAATTTAACAGTTTTGTATAAATGCGTCGAGAAGGCTCATTGGTTAGGAATTCCTGAACTTACGAGTGCATACAATAGGCAGATATTTTTTTAATTTATTAAATTTTTTTTTTGGGGGGGGGGGGGGGTAGATCTTATACTTATAGGTCTTAGAATGTATTGTCATACTACACACATGATGGTTATCTATCAAGTCCAAATACTATTGCTGTAATCACGTGATTTCTACGCCATGTTGTGAATGAACTGAGAACAAAATGTCCACAACTTACAGGGTCACCGATGCTCTGAGAGCTACCACAAGGAAAGAGATTGTTCACTTATTTATATAGACAGTTTAGAACAAAGAATATGCCTCAGGGTACTTTTGTTCAGTGTGAGATTGGGAATCAAACTACAGACGTAACTTATGGCGACCGTGTGTCCAGGCCTGCCGGTTTGATGATACAAAGGCGAGATGAGGAAAAACAAATGTGCTTGAACAAAACACACCCACCTCTTGTACTTGTAGTTGTAGCGATCCAACTTGCACTCTGGTCACAATTCTCTTGCCCCTCGACTGCGACTCACGCTCACGAGGTCTTCCACTCTTCCACAGTCCGTGGCTCACGCTTTAGCCTGCCCTTGTTCTCTTCTTCAATGTCAAATAGGTACTCGATTACTTTCTCGAAATAAACCAACTGACCACAACAAACGCAGAGGCCCTGCCTCTAAAATAACCTAATTAACTGAGTTGAAAAACACATTAACTCATTCAATATGCCCACACCTACCCAGGAAACTAAACACGTAACATTGATCAAATTGTGTGCAGTTTAATGCTAGGTCGTGCTTTGTACTTGAAGAGGGGCTTGTTGATTCTAAAGCATACCATGTATGTCTGTGGTCTGTCAGTCCAAAAATCTTGATTTGAATTATGAAGTGACATAGCCGTAGAGAGAGAGGGAGAGGGAGAGGGAGAGGGAGAGAGAGAGAGAGA